CCGTCTCTTTTTCGGATCCTTACCTACAGATGTGCCATCAATCTCTCCAGATTTGAGTTTCCAAATTATTAATTTTCATAAAGATGAAATCTAAAATCTATTTGGTTACATTCTATTCTTTAATTAAATTCTGAACGATGAGTATAAAACCATTTTTGTGAAAACCCATGTTGAAGTAGTCTTTAAAATGTTTTGGGCATAGTACAGGAAGCACTGGGCGGAGGTAATCTATGAGGAAGCAGAGACCGTAACAGAAGATGATGCTCTAGCAATTGTGCGACTACTGCGCGATGAAATGATCGAAGATGGAAGGAAATCTCCTCAAGAAACGCGTTGGTTATGGAATGAGCAGAATACGCTACTTCATGCCTTGCTCAGCACTGATTAGGTGTATAACTCATTTCCGTTACTTGGATTGGTCCTTCTTGCTGCATGGTTGTCGCTTTCTAATGAACTGTTTTCTGGAGATTCACTGTAGCTTGTATTATATGTTCACAAAATAACATTCTTAATATTTTAAAACGAACTTCATTTTTAGTTGGGGTTTCTTTTTTCTCTTGACTCTTGCAATAGAATGATGGACTGTCCCTGTCGCGAAAGTTGAATTTCCCTTTGTTTGACGTAGACAAATGAGATTTATTGTTGATAGAGAATTTATTCTTTAATGTTATAATGCAGTCTCAGAAATATTATAGGTAGAATCCATCGGTAAGTTGTCCTTAGATTATCTCGTAGGAATTTGTTTTTGGAATTGGATTTGAAATACTGTCGTATAGAAGAGGAGGTGAATAACTAGTGGGAAAAAGATTAGTTGTTTGACTGCCCAAAACGTAAAACAGAATTCTGTTCTCATCGATGATTTCGGCTTCCTTTGGAGTGGCATTGCTTATAACATTTAAAACATTCCAAATAAGCTTGATTATCAGGAAGATTTTTACAATATTGTAAACACTGCAAGTCTGATCGTAAGACTGGAAGATGTTTGTAATATTGCATACATTGCAAGTAGTTGATCACAAATAAGACTGGAAGGTGGAAGTTGGACCAATGACTCTGCCTAAAGATTGAAAATTACATTTCTTGTAATGAATTTGTTCTAGGGATATTCTACCTCAAAATTTTTATACAACAGATATATATTATCGTGAGTTTGTATCAGTTAATCTAAAATATTTATTACAGGAATATTTTGAGTTTTTTTGACATTTCCAACTGACCATTTATATTTTGAAACATTATGGCGTTTCAATGTTTTTTGCATGTAATGATCCACCTTGCACAACAACATTTGAAATGCGCTTTCATTCCCTCGGAATTGTAAGCACTGAGTTAATAAATTATTTACTGCCGTAATTCGAACATTCAGAGTAATTCTGTGGAAGTTGAATTCGAGACGAATATTTTGTTCACAGAACATCAGTGATAAGAATCTGAGGCGGTCAAGTTGTTAAGTCAACCACATATATTTCATAATACTGAACAGAAGATATGTTCAAAGCTAACTTTATATACAACCATATAATTTAGAGCAGCGATTAAGAACACCGGTTCCGTGGAGAAATTTTTTAAACATCAATATATGATTAAGAAACGAAGTCTGATAGAAAATTCAAACCATCTCCGCGACCTACACAGTGTCTGTTTGTTTTTTATGACAAATCAAAGTAATCCAAAATCGTCAGTCTCTGCTGCAATACCAAAACCAAATATAGCCTTGGGTCATGAGAGTTGTAGGAGAGAGAATGGAAATGGTAGAACTGAAATTTAATGTTATTGAAGATTTTCCCCTATGTTACTTACCGCTAAAAGTTACACACACGAGAATTTTAAAACATTTATCAATAGTTTGCATCAACAATATGAAAACAGACTGTTAACACATATTAAGGACGACAATCAAAACCATAAAAATCGAAATCTTTGTGCTTTTAACTAAACAAAAGTGCACTGAACAATCATGTTCATTAACCTAACGTCTACCTCATAAAATTACGCCTATCGTAAGAGGCATCTGGATCGAAGTTACAACCAGCCTATGGAGCTACAAGTTTCTCAAGAATCTTGGTTCCAAGAAAAAAAAAAACAGTTCAAGAGATCATCCTTCCTACAAGATTTGTAACGTTTATCCACCTAAAAACTTGCATTATATAATGAAACAAAGAACTAATATAAAAATCGATCTGAATCACTATAAAACAACGTTATGCTGGATCCTAATATTGATAAAAGCAAGTTAATGAAATGGACGATTTTTTGAACGATTTACTCAATTTCAATCCCATTAGCTCGTTATTGCCGTCACAATGAACATTATTCTTCGGCAAACAAACTTGGCAAAATACATTATTACCAAGAGACATGCCGAAACACTCGTAGTGGTTTTGGTGAGATATTGGGTAGCTAAAAGCCATGATTACTTTACCATAAAAATTATGGAATAGATTTAACAAAATTGCGTGCCACCCCAACAGAAAAAATTGAGCCACGTCCAGCGAATTTTTCGTTGCATGATTTAAAAAACTCATAAAGCCGTACATGATTCTCTACCGCAAATCTGCAATGACCATTCTTTTCCTCTCGTACTGACAATCACAACAAAGTAAAAATAACCAATATCATCCAGATCTCATATCACCAAGCAGAAAGCACAGCATTCGGTCAATTATAAAGCAAGCCAACAAATCCGCCGTTATACAAATTAATAAGGCTTTCCGATACTGAAATACCATTTCCTCAATCGTTAATAGAGAATGATGTTAAAAATCTGATAAGGGCCCGACATTTATAACAACAGCTTTCTCTGTTGACTACCTTACTTCTAAAAAATCAAAATACAGCCAATCGAGAACGACATCACGTGTAGTGAAATGTAAAATGAACTGAATACTTCGAATGTATCCCTCTTCATATGATGGTTCATTAATAGGTGAAAATCCAGACCTAACCTTAATAATTGTTAATATAAAAGTGGCTACTTACTCCGACTGGCAATTCAACAAGTTCAAACTTCTCCGTCAATTCTGGAGATATGCCAGATGCTAGTGCGAATACAGCAGATCCAGAAAACAACAAGCTATAAAGCATGGGTTTGTTTTCCAACAGACTTTCCATGAACGGATGACCCTGTAAACGAACGATGACTAAGAAAACAATATAGAGAAATTCTTTACTACAAAAGGAAAATCTTCTATTCTAGGAAGTTTCGTTTGTTATATTACTTACTAACAATTTATACTGCCCATTTAAAAGGGTGTTTTCAGGACTCAAAATCTAAACCAACCCGATAGTTCACAGCAAATGTAGCCACCTGCAATGCCAATGCCATAAGATAAACCGCCGAATTAAGTAAATTTGGCTTGAACTCTGCTTCCAAATCGACTTTTTCACTGGAATAAGTATATCAGTATGAGTGACAAAATTTGCTACTTTCGTACGCTTCATATACATCACGATATATAACATAACAGAACAAAAAAAGCTTAAGTTGCAAATCCCTTACCGAGGATTTGTTGCCTGAGCTTCTCGTACGACGTATATTAAACAACCAAAATGAATGGCAAACTGAAGAGATACCGTAAGAAGCGTATACGCATTGAATATGTTTGGTGTAGGTCTCTGCCTAGCGAGTGTTTTGAGTGGCTGTAACGGAAAGGAATCTCAGTCTGAAGGCATGAAATTAGAGCAGTTACAAATAATAAAATTCGTGAAAAGAAAATTC